AGGGGCCTCGATACCGTAGGCCGTAGGATACCACGGAGGGAAGGAACGGTGCCTAACCACTTGGACCAGCGGGAATCGAACGCCGACCTGCAAGAAGACCTGCCTTCGCCGTTCCGACTAGTTTAGGTGATTACCAATATAGGTATACCACTATAGGTATAGCAAAACGAGAAAGGAATAACACTTACTTGGCCAGCCAGTGGCTTAGGGCGCGCGCAGGAACATCCCTGCAAACAAACAAAAAAAAAAAAAAAAAAAAAATCACAAAATTTGTTTCAAACTGATATTGCAGCAAAAGATTTCCTATTTATTTTAAAAATAGATCGGCTACAATGAGCTGTCGGTATATATACATATTATATATGTATATAAATATATATATATATATATATATATATATATATATATATATATATATATATATATATATATATATATATAATATATATATATGTATATATTATGTGTACATACAAAAGAATGGGGGTGGTAGGAGAAGATAATATTAGTGTTCAGTGAGAAACCACAAGGTCTCCTCTGAATACTTTTTATTTTCTTCTCCGAGGCTATGGGTCCCCACATTGGCACCAGAGGTGGTACCCTCACAAACTTTTATATATATATATATATATATATATATATATATAAAATAGGGTTCATATAGACCCCCTTTTCGTATATTTTGAAAAGTGAAGATAAACTGAATAGAATTGTAACTAGTCTGAAAGACGTTCTCTCTGAATATACAAAAATGCTTCCAACTGGCTCTATGCCAGGCATCTTATATGGCTTGCCTATAAGGTTCATAAAACAGGTATACCTATTCGTCTTATTTTGTCAGTGATTGGTACATTTAATTACAAACTGGCAAAGGTTCTAGTTCCATTAACAGAACCATTAAATTGTAATGAATTTACTGTGAGAAACTCTCTTAGGATTTTATAAAGGAACTTTCCTCGTTGAATTTAGAGTTCCCAACTATAATGGCTAGTTTGGATGTAGAATCACTCTCCACAAATATTCCTCTGTTGGAAACTATTGACATTTGTGTAAATCAGTTATTTGCTGACCCTAATTTAGGGTCAGGATTGGGGAGTAAGATATTTAGACCTTGTTGTTTTTTTGTTTAATAATAAATATTACATATACTGTATATATATATATGTATGAAGTCTTCAAAGTGATTGTTATATATGTGTGTTTTTTTTCTGTAAACAAATGTAATAAAATTAAATTAATAAACCAAAGAAGAAAAAAAATAGGGATGGTAGGAGCAGAGAATATTAAAGTGTTCAGTGAGAATCTGTATACAAGGTCTTCTCTGAATACCCTTTTATTTTCTTCTTCGAGGCTAGGGGTCCCTACAATTGCACTAGAGGTGGTACCCGTATATTATATATATATATTTTTTTTTATTTATAGTCTATAGTCTATAGACTATAAATAAAAATGAATTTTGGAGAATTGATTTTTGAATTACCACCAACAGTGAAAAGAAATGTACGAAAGATCGAGAAAATTCGTGTTAGAATTATTAATCTTACTTTTTCGGTCATATTTAATAATATATGTCTACAGGAAAGACTGCTACCAAAATATACTAATATATATATATATATATATATATATATATATATATATATATATATATATATATATATATATATATATATATATATATTTAAATTCATCCTTTTTTTTACTGCTGAATCCAATATACTTGATTCGAATTTCGCCTCTATTTCGACTTGGAAATAAATTATATTTTGGAGATCTGATCCGTATTGCAACCTTTAATCACAGTGCAGGTTCATTTTATATTGGAATTCTGATTCGCATAGAAGAACACCACATGAAAACTAGACTGAATTGATTCATAAATATATATTTGGAAAAAACATTCCAGTTATCCTTTAGGAATTCAAACTCTCCGTTTGTTTAGCATAAATCGTTGTCGACATCTGCTTTGATCAATCAACTTTGAATTCCATTGAAGTTCCGTAAAGAATTGCAGACATGATGCACAGCAAATTTCCAATTCATATCTGAGATTGCATATATTTTGTGATTTGAAGGCTTCTTTGAGAATTAAGTATTTGCTAAATAGTTATCCCTAAAATAAATGTTAAAAGTAATGTATTAATAACCGAACCCACAAGAGAAGATTGACAACGTATAGGGTCTTCCAAGACTCCATCACGCCTTAGCTGAGCGAGAGAGACGATTAGATGATTACACACAGAAATCACAATTGCCTGATGCATCAAATGAACAAATCCACAAGGGCCGTGACTAGGATTCGAACCTACATCCGAGAGCCTCCCAGATGCTCCCTTAATCGACTGAGCTACGACATGGTCAATGTCATAGCTCACGTAGCGACATATATATATATATATATATATATATATATATATATATATATATATATATATATATATATATATATATATATATATCTATTTTCAGGGACCAATCAGGCTTGTTCGATATATATATATATATGTCGTACCTAGTAGCCAGAACGCACTTCTCAGCCTACTATGCATGGCCCGATTTGCCTAATAAGCCAAGTTTTCCTGAAGTAATATATTTTCTCTAATTTTTTTCTTATGAAATGATAAAGCTACCCATTTCATTCTATATGAGGTCAATTTTTTTTTATTGGAGTTAAAATTAACGTAGATATATGACCGAACCTAACCAACCCTACCTAACCTAACCTAACCTATCTTTATAGGTTAGGTTAAGTTAGGTAGCCGAAAAAGTTAGGTTAGGTAAGGTTAGGTAGGTTAGGTAGTCGAAAAACAAATAATTCATGAAAACTTGGCTTATTAGGCAAATCGGGCCTTGTATAGTAGGCTGAGAAGTGCGTTCTGGCTACTAGGTACGACATATATATATATATATATATATATATATATATATATATATATATATATATATATATATATATATATATATATATATATATATATATATGCCACTACATTCGTCCTGAATTGTGTAAAACATCTTTAGAGAAAAAATATTCACATTATACTGCTTAAGGAAACTATTTTGCCGTCAAAGACGTTACAGATATGAAAAGAACATCTTATCTGTTTCTTAAGGCATTGACCGTAATACCGAAGACAATATCAATTAAGTTGTTCCATATGCCACTTGAATGTCAAATTGTTACTGCTAGGTAACAGGGGGCATGAGGGTGAAAGAAACTCTGGCCAGTTTCTCGCCCGGGATCGAACCCGGGACCACAGGATCCAGTGCTCAGCGTGCCTATGGCCAGTGGAGGAGTTGTGGTCAATTGTCAGTGTGATTGATTGTGATTGATGAGGGGCAGATACGTCTATCAATACGTACAAAATACGTCTGTTAATACGTACAAAATACGTCTGTTTACAATTACCTATATCTTCACCTTCCAGCTGATACGCCTCTTCTAGCTTCGTCTCTGAGGTAATGGGCGGCATTTTCCTGGGCACTGGTGAGTTATCAACGTCCTTCCTCTTCCCATTAGCCATTATTAATGGTATTTTCGCGGATAAAGTGGCAAGACAGCACAACGTGTAGCGCCCCTCACCACGTGGGAAGGGCGACTGAGTTGCCCGCCGCTTCCTCAGACACATCGTACACACAACGCCTCCCAAAACATAATATATAAAAACCTTCCTAATCTTACCCAAACTCTAACTCAGCCGATTCTACCGCATTATAATCTAACTTAATATATCCTAACTTAATGATATATATATATACGGTGCTAACGGTCGGATATTAGGTTGTAGATATGTCTTGTGTACGATTTGAGAGTTCAGTATCGTACCCAATGCCGCGCGCCATTTTGAAGGTGTTGCCATATTATACTTGAGACACCTCGGCGATATTGTAGTGGTTTTCTTAGTATATTTAGTGTGTAGCGAGTTTGTAGTGTAGTAGGATGCTGGGGACAGGGGACGGGAGGCTTGTAAAAATGTTCGAAAAAATGAATGTTCGTTTAGCGGGGGATAGTTTGATATTTACAAAGGATCACAAAGCTAAACAAAATGCCTAAAGCCTATTGACAGATACCTCCTCTCTTATATATATCCATCCAAACTAATTCACGTATATTTAAAATACAGGTGAAATAATTCAGCGATTATCCTCCTATTATGTCCCCCTGTAATTTGTTCCGTAAGCCAAAAAGCCTAATTTCCAAACCAGTATTTACCCAGGATTTTGCTGAATCTAAATTCTTCCAATTTATATCCATTAATTCGTGTTTGATTTTGTACTGGCGTATCTCATAAGGCTGGACATTCTTTACCCGAACGTATTTAAAAAGGAAATCGAAAAAATAAATCTTGACATGTGTGACAGATTACCACATATGGAATGCATTAGGAAGTGATGTGGTGGAGGCTGACTCTATACACAGTTTCAAGTGTAGATATGATAGAGCCCAATAGGCTCAGGAACCTGTATACCAGTTGATTGACGGTTGAGAGGCGGGACCAAAGAGCCAGAGCTCAACCCCCGCAAGCACAACTAGGTGAGTATAGAGTTATTAGTGATATTCTCATAATACCTAACTCAGAAAACCCAACACATTAAATGATCCTTGACCAAGCGACAAGTTCAAATACGTAACTCAGCGGAGTCATGAAAGTACCACAAATGAGTAAGAACTTCCAGTTTCCTCCAAAACTCACAAAAGTTAAGTTCCAGCATATCGCTGCGTCAGCTGAAACATCGTCCAACTTCAAAATTGGATCACGTAAAGGAACAAAGTTTTTGATAGCTTTGTCAACTTAGTTCGAAACAAAAAAACAAAGTTTTTAAATGGTTAATTAGTTACACAAATAACGATGACGCTCAACGATGAGTCCATTTCATTAATCAATGGGCAAATAGTCTAGGTTAACGAACTAGGGCAAGTTAATTATCGCGCCTGTGATAAACTGCCTTGTTAATCAACATAGCTCATTTAAGGCAGCCCCTATTGGTTCATGTAAGGC